TTTTTGTTAAAAGGAAGACTGGCTCAGGCATGAACAAGGGCAATCACCACGTAAACTTCCAAACAAGTTACAAAGGTGTATTGTGTTTGAAAGCCACAGCCCAGAGAGCATTGTGCACCACTATGGAAAAACTCCAGTTGCTCAGGCGTCACCAGTCCTTATGCCAACCCGCAAGAGAAATGGGTGGACTCTTCTTCAGAGGGAAAAATGATGCTAGTGAGAGAAGTGCTGGCTGGGCAGTGGTATATCCATCACAGACCCAAGGTTCACGTTTCATACTAGATTTGTCGTTCAGGCTCCTGTTAGGAACACAAGCTATGACCCTTTGAATACTAAAGGACATAAGGTGATAAAGGAAGGAGAAAGGGGACATTAGGTCATCATTAGAGTGCCTGCACCACTTTACATAGCTGAAATGTTTACCACAGGAAAGAGGATGCTACAAATCCCGGAAAGACAGGCAGAACTGCACATCTGCAGGCCTAGTGCATACCTGCGCAGAATTCCTCTATTCTGAATTTGAGGCAACCAGGCTTTTACTTCTGTTCTCAAAATAGGTTACACAATGTAAGGGCATACAATGCACTGAAGCTCTTTCTATTTGGTCAGTTTTTGCTCAAACAACTTTATCATGGTCTTGAATGTAAGCCCTATATCAGGAGTAATTCAGCAGCCACAGGCATGCTCATGTATTGGTAGAGACTTGTCTGTCAGCAGAAATGCATTACACTATTTTCTTTGAGAAAGATGTCTTGAGTGCTCTCCCCTGCTTTGCAGAGGCTGAACGCTTCATCAAGAACACTGTCACTGAAACTGAGCATTTTTCAGGCATTTCATGAGACAGGGTATTTTACAGGGGCAGGTAGTATTTGAATTCAGAGTAAGAAAGCAGCTACACACATTGCTTTGCTGCTAGCACATTTTTAAGGCAGACCCTGAGCATCTATGCTCCCAGCCCTATGCCCTAGCCATCAGATTACACAAGCATGAGTGAGCAGACCTGACACACACTGACAACAACCATCTTTCAGACACACACAATCCCGGTGTACAAGCAGAAATACAAATAAAGGGAGCAGAAAGAAGATTTTGATCTCTAGCTCTAGTGAAGAATAGCTTAACACTGAGAAGTGTGCTACTTGGCACCATCCATCTGCTTACCTCTGAGCCACACCTCCCACATTAAAGAAGAGAAAACAGTGTTCCAACTGCAGTTCCAAATACCATTTCATGTTGAATATCCGACACAGTAACTTCACTGTTCTCAGACAAACCAGCAGATACTTTAATCGAGCCAATCTAAACTAAATCTGAACCTTGACCCAGACGTTTGCACCCTGGGGTTGCTGACCAAACACCTGATTCAGATAGCAGCATTCATTCTGCAGGACTGAGAATTAAACTGTAGCATACAGGTTCTTTTTATGGTGTGAGCTGGGAACTTTCAGGTGTGCACATATCTAGTGAGGCAATAACTGGTCTTGTTATAAAAGGAAGGTGAAAACCTTTGGATTCAGTGAAGTAGCTTCCTGGTTAGGAGGCTTCAGTTACTCCTAGCTCAACTAGTACCATTGTTTGTATAGCACCTAAGTATTTGTACAAAGTACCACTGTGAGTAAGACACAGTTCTAACACTACTTTGCTTGAAGCTCCCAGCCCCATCCTACTTTTGCGGGGTCAGAGGAGCATATATCCAGGCTAAGCCTGCCGAGTCAATTGTATTTACTGCGCCCTATGCTGTTCCACCTCCCCCATTCAAAGTTCCTGAATTAGAAAATGTCTTCAGGTCCTCCCTCCTCCCCACCTCACATCTGGGCTGTGCTACCCTACGTACTCTAAGCAAGCAGCAGTTCTGAGTCTCATAAGCATCTGCACATGGCAGCAAATCCGAGTTCAGAAGACGTGTAAATGTTCTGATCTATTCCAAAATCTTTTGTAGATTCTGAGTCATCAACAAGAGCATGAAGATTTATGTAAAACACACACAACAGCATGGCGAATTGTTAGAAAACTATACCAACACCAGCAATTATTTCACTGGGTCTTGCAAGTTAAGGCTTGGACATATCAAAAACTTCAAGGCATTTTACAGTGTAAAAGCCTGTTTTACACTGGTAATAGGGGCTTTCCAGAAGAGGCTTTCAAGTATTCTCTAGAGTACTTGAATACTTCTGTAGCCCTCCTTGTAAGATTAAGTCTTGCTCCTTTATATGCTGTGGAATTATTTAGCAGCTTTGTTAGGGCTCACTCCAAAGCGCTGGGCACAGAAAGGCAAGATAACAAAGACCAGAAAGGTAAGGAATGGGAGTTTGGCATATGGACACAGAGCACTAGACATTACACCAAAAGTCCTTACTACAGGTAGGGGTTTTTCCTTCTTTCCATTAATAGGTAGGTATCAGTTCTCACTATCGGGGGTTGTCTGCAGAACTTCAATGCGCATGAGAAAATTGGAAGGCAGTTCTTCCAGGGAGAAGAATAAGGCTTGGACCAGTTCCTGTAAAACCTGACTCATGGAAGCCAGTCCTTTTCACAATAGACTTTTGAAAAACGCTTTTTAATAGCTTGCACATTTTAAAAACACAAAAGTATTTGCAAGGGTGGATCCTGTTTCCAGAGAGCTATGGATCTAATTCTTTACTTTCAATACTTTGAGCTCAAAGTCTTAATAGATTTCCCCCTGTATTGGATATAGAACCAGGCCCTTGCTATTGCTTTACCCACTAGACTAACAGTAGACCCATCCATTTTGGTATTTCTTGGCTACTCTTCTCAGCCTGATGTGACTGGATAACTAAGCACGAAGGTAGTTTAAACCCCACAGCCCAGAACTTGTGATGACACAAAGGGAACATTTTGTAAGAGCATGGCAAGTCTACTGCAACAGAGCAGCATTCACCCTACTGCTGCTCTCATAACAGTGGCCCAATGGGTTGCTAGAAGGGGCATCCTAAAATAGTTTTTACTAGTACCTAGACAGTACTAGCCACCCTGCTAGGAGAAAACCTGTGCTGTTTCTAGATGTGAGAAGCTACGGAGACCCTTAAAGGCTCTACCGATTTTGATTTAAATTAAAAAAAAGCCAGTCTTATAAACCTTAATTGATGAACATTAGAGAGCTAAAATCCTACAGTAAATAAAATAAGGCTGGCTTGAAGGCAACAGCAATGCTTTCAAGAGAAGCCGTGTTTCTTTCCATGTCACTGGGTCCAATTCTGATGTAGCCACAGGCACAATCTCACTTTATCTCAAACCAAGCTCTGATTAGAGTGAATGATCCCAATGGTTTCTTGCCTCCTTTTTCCTGGGAGAGAAAGAACATTCATCACAAGTGATTAACAGCACAATGGATCTATCTGTTCTAATAAAGAACTTGCTGTTAGCACCAGATACACAAGTATCCTTCCCCTACCATGTCTCTAGGACAGCTTTACAGCACAGATTTTTGTAAAACCCAAAAGGCAACAGCTCAGCTGGATCCTTCCACTCCCGCATGAGTGCATTCCCAAGATCAGGTTCAGCCCTCAGTGATCACCTGGCACACAGCGATGAGAGACTGTTCTCAGACTGGCTCTCCCTCACATGCTAGTGGGTATCTCTGGTTTGGCTTTCTTTAGCAACTCTAGTCCCTTCTTTCTAGCTTCCCCAAGCAGCCTAGCTTAAGCTAAATCCCAATCCCAGATGAGTGTCACTTTGAAGGCGGGAAATAAAAAAGAGCTGGTGATGGAGCAGAGGCAGCGGCAGCCAATACTGGCCCGGCCACGGGATCGGATGTTGCTGACGTCAGGGCCCGGAAGGCTGCCGTGCCAGCTCCGGCAGGTACCTTCAGCTGAGCTGCTCCGCAGAGCTGCAGCACAGGTCCTTGGAGAGAAAAGCCTATTGATTAGGCTTCACCAAGGTAATGTTTCTGATGCTTTCTTGACTGCATAGAATCACTTTTTAAAAAGGCTACTCGAGATTTAACTGACATGATTCCCTGAAATTCAAACCACCTCCAACACCAAGACAACCAAGAAAGCTGGCAACCGACTAAAGTTTATCACAGTTGTATTTTTTTTCTTTAAAGTTTCTTGTAGAAAATACTAGGCTCTATTAATGTCAAATTTAACTTCAGCAAAGTACACTGTGACTTCCATGAGATACACATTTCTCACAGTTAGGTTTTAAATCAAAAACTTCACAAGTTTACATGATTTAAGAGCCACTGAGCCCTATGTATGAGGGTTTTCAATGGCACTAATTTAGGATGAGTGAAAAAAGAAGAATGCCTTGGGTCTTCAAGTGCTACATCCCACACAGCATCCAGTCACACAGCCCATTTCTTCTCTGGCTGCAGTATTTGCATACAAGATAAACCTGCCAGTTAATTGAACTCTAATTTGCAGTTTTAAGGCAGATGCCACTTAGCCCAAGAATGGTTCCATAACATATTTCTTCTAGTACTTTCCAAGAGCTGCAGGCCAGATAAAAGCATAGCTGGTTTTAATGCAGTAAGTATTAACTCTACCTTACTGTTACAAATGATCACAACTACCAAGTACTCTGATAAAGTAAATTTTTAAGTCACTCGGCACTTCCATGAGCTTGTTTACTAGCCTTCTTTCTGATGCTCTCAATCTACTCTCCTGCCACATTGGGACAAGCAGAAAACAGATCAGAGGATTTCTGGATATAGTTACCCAGCTTCAAAAAGGCTGGCAGAGTAGATACCCTACAAACTGTAATATAAAGC